AAAACCTTTTCAGCCGAATGTGATGTCAAATGGTTTAGAAAAAAACTCTCGGATTTTGTTATTCCTATCCCTGCTCAGTTTCTTCGTTGTGTTTAGCGCCAAACCACTAGCATCATCGCATTTACATAACTATTTGTTATACTTACTATGTGAAAAGAACCATGAAGTGCGCACTTGAGATAGTATTTGTTATCAAAATTTGAAAAAAATAGTTCTAATTTAAAGACAGCGAAGAAATTCTCCAGGACATTATTGCATGAGAAGTGAAAACAAAGAAATTAGTTACTATTTCAAAAGACCACAGAATAATCTATATCGTTTCCTTGAAATCACCATTTCATAATTCTCAGTATTTTATTTTGCAACAAACGTGTAGCAACTTTCACTTTCGGACTATGTACAAAAACGTTGAACAGCTGGCTTGACAGCTATGCAAAAATTCTCAAGAGCGTTTCTGCAAATCTAGCGCATACTGATTGCTAAATTTAGATTTCCGAGAAATTTGCGGTTTCATCATATATTGAAAAACTTGGTCAAAATCCACTCAATGATCATCAGTAGGCCTCTCTTCTTGGAAAAAAGACAAAAGTCCAATTTACGAACAAATTGGTTGATTTTTCAATACATTGGTTTTTACATTAATCATGTTGGGAAATAGTGTGCTACTTATCTTAGAGGAAGTTGGTCGTTTCTTATGCATTCATGTTTTTTGGACTTTTATAAGTTTCTTTAATACATGTGGTGTCTAACATGATGATTAAAAACAAACATTTTATGCCCACAACGGCTTCCACTTCTATCAATTTTCTCAAGCTTTCAAAAGGGAGATTGACCTCCACTTTGTAAGCGACTCCAATCCTTTTTTAGCACCATAGAAAGAAGAAGAATATCTCGGCATGGGAAAGTGTGAAAAAACAAATCAAACAGAATTGAATCCTTTTAGTTATGCTCTTTTCACTCAAAACACTTTTAACCCGAAGAGAAAAAGACTTTAAAAACCTGTAGAAAGAAGTATTGTAAAGGCTATGCTCACATTTTCATTCCATCTCCACTGTTGCTCTCGTTTCCCATGACAAACCCTCATTTCAACTCTGGCGCCTCGTGATATCCTTCCCTGCGAGGATTCGGCAGATAAGCAGAATGTCGTATTTGCTAATCGAATCTGAAAATAATTGTTTGCAATCTGTGAGTGCCTTTTGGAAAATAGTTTTGTAAGCTACTTACTTGATACTTCTTTCCAAATTGTGCCGGCTTTTCAACGATCTCGTGTTTTTCAGGGATATTATTCGGAAGAAGTTCTGGATAGATGTTTTCAAGGTACCTAGAACATAGACTTCGGGATGTTCCTCAGTATTTCGAGCGCTATCTTAAAAATTTTGGTCGTTTCATGACAGAATAATTTATCGTACTTGCATTACCTTTTCTGAAAATTTTTCAAAGTTGACCATCTATGAAACATACCGAAAATGCATAGCATTTAAGACAATTAATGTAAATCAATTTTGAGACCTTTTTAGACAAAATTACATTACCCTTACCATTTGAACGATTTGCAGTGTAGATTTTTTCTCAGTTGTATCCGATCACTTATATCACCATAATCCATCTTCATTGCCAAGTATGGTCGCGCTTTGAAAAACTCTGTCTG